GGGGACGCCTTTGTGGGGGGGGGGGACACAGGGCTACCATCGTGGCTACCACCGTGGCCACTGCCATCACCACCGTGATGGCCACTGTCATGGCTACCACCGTGGCCACCACCATCACTACCATGATGGCCACCATCATGGCTCCCACCGTGGCCACTGCCATCGCCACCGTGATGGCCACCATCGTGGCTACCACCATGGCCACCGCCATCGCCACCATGATGGCCACCATCGTGGCTAGCACCATGGCCACGGCCATAGCCACCGTGGTGGCCACCATTGTGGCTATCACCGTGGCCACCTCCATAGCCACCGTGATGGACACCACAATGGGATCTGCAATGGCTACTGCGATGGCCACCACTATGGCCACTACCATGGCCACCACAATGGCTACTGTGATGGCCACCACAATGGCCACCACCGTGGCCACCACCATCGCCACCGTGATGGCCACCATCATGGCTACCACTGTGGCCACGGCCATCGCCACCATGATGGGCACCACAATGGTCCCTGCAATGGCTACTGCCACAGGACTGTGGTGGCCACCATGATGGCCACTGCCACGGCACTGTGATGGTACCACAATGGCTACCATGATGGCCACTGCCGTGGCACTGTGAAGGCCACCACAATGACACTGTGATGGCCACAACCATGGAACCATGATGGCCACAGCCATGGTACTGTGGTGACCACAATGGCCACCGTGATGGCATGATGGCCACCGTCATGGCACTGTGATGGTACCACGGTGGCCACTGCCATGGCGCTGTGGTGGCCACCAGGATGGCTCAGTGGCCACCACCCTGGCACCACAATGGCCACTGTCATGGTGCTGTGGTGGCCACCACGATGGCTCAGTGGCCACCACCCCACCACCACGATGGCCACTGCCACGACGGTATGGTGGCCACCCCCATGCCCACCATGGCCACCACCAGGCCCTCCCGCAGGCCTCTTCCCCGCCCCCCCCCGTGCACACTCGTGTGAGGCCGTTGTGCCCCCCCCTTGCACACT